AACTAAAAATCGAACGGATAAAAGTGAAACAGACAAAATTGTTCTAACTATTACTCTCACACCCGTCTATATTTTAGTGAGATAGGAATATCACATCCTTCCCCTTGTCCGCTCCGCCCGAAACCACGCCCAATCTTTCCCACATAGGGCAGGTGCCCGTGGGGCCTGCCCCCTTTACCGTATTTAATTGTAGGAACTTAAAGTTGTAACATTAAATTGTACTCCATAATTGATATGTCCAAATGTTATAAAGGTTAAAACTATTATAACTCCGTCAATTAGTCCATTATTCACTCACTGATTGATTTATTATTCAATAAAGGTAAAAGTTATGTCTCAATGTTATGGATGTTTTACTCTCTTGGCCCTTAAAGCATCACTATGATTGTAGACTTTTCTGGTATATTAAAAGTCCGGTTATAAACGTACAAACAGATTGAGGAGAGGCTTGTTCTTAAGAGAAGCCAAATAAACTTACAATGCAAATTAGTTGTTGGGGTGTATCAATTTTCCAAAGAGATATACAACCCTTAAACGAAATAAAATACGTAACATCCTTTAATATTTGATAAAGCTAGCAGGCCTTAATATGAGTTTTAAAACTCGGTGTGATCTTTCTAAAGATATAAAAATTGCTAAAAAAAGGAGTAAAATACATTAATGTATGGGGTAAGAGTCATATTCGTACTCGAAGTTGCATAAAAAGGATCAAATAAGTCATTATTGTCCGTCCGTCGTCATTTGAGGTGGTTCCCGGTGGAATGTTTTGATGAAATTTTTTAAGCATCTTATTCACTAAGTCTAGTTTACTCATACCAAATTTCAGCTAAAATTTCAATCGGGAAGGCATTCAAATGAATTCTTGAAGATAACTGCGCTTTTAACTGCGCCGATATCTTCAATAATTCATTTGAATGCCTTCCCGATTGAATTTTTAGCTGAAATTTGGTATGAGTAAACTAAACTTAATGAATAAGATGTTCAAAAAAATTCGTCAAAAAGTTCCACCGGGAACTAGCCCAAATGACGACGGCCAGACAGAGCCTCCTATATAAGGACTTATTTGATCCTTTTTATGCAACTTCGAGTACCAATCTGACCTTTACCTCATTAATGTATGATCAAATTGAATACTATGCCTTTGTGGAGTCAACTGGATGTTATTTTTTAAAGTTATTGTTATACATACTTGTTGATCGATATTTGGTAAATCATGTCTATAGAAGAGCTTTCGAACACTACAAAATCTTTCCAACAATATACTTGTATACTATTATCGTAATAAGAAAGTCTTAAGACGGAACAAAATATAATAGATATGATCAAATCAAATACTTAATAAAGTTTTTTTGTACGTAAATAGAGCCTATCTCAACTAAATAGAGCCAATTCGGAGTAAATAAAGTTTTATTTTTTATTTTGGTGTAAAAATTTCGCAGCCCATAATATTTTATAACTGAAGTCTGACTATGATATTTGGAACTTTATATGATCTCTTAAATGACATAACAAACGCTTAAAGCAAACGCAAAAACAACAAGATATGATCTCATCGAATAATACACCTATTTGAAGTCAAGTCTAATAGCGTATTATTATTGTATCAAGGACCTATGTGTAATTATTTATCTCTTGATTAATATATATACACCACTAGGGCTATCACCACGGTAAGCCATTATTCTCCACTATTATTATTTCACAAAGTCGGCAATGCTTTTGAATTTAAGGCTTTGTTTGCAAACAATTAATTTAAGTGTTTTTGGCTTTTTTTTAAGAAAAAAGCACTTATTTTACCAAACAATACTAACTTTTACTTTCTCGGTTTTCGTGTAGAATCTACTTTTTACTTTTTCTATTACACAAAAAACACTTATTTTACCAAACACTACCAACTTTTACTACTAATCACTTTTTCCCAAAAAGTACTTTTATTTAAGCATAATCACTTGCAAACAAAGCCTAAATGTAATACGTACTAATCTTTTAATAGAAATCATATGCCACTTTAACCAAAAAAGAAGAAGAAAGAAAACATGGGCAAGTACAAAAACACAGAACGGATTGTTGACATGTCCGGTCTGAAGATACTCTATCGTCTAGCCCTACAGGGGGGCCTCGACACCCGAGGGGAGCCCTCGACCTAGTCACAAAACATAAGAAGTTTTAAATTTTACAAAAATTACTTTTTACAATATATTGTAATCCCCTAGAAGAGGAAAAAGTTGTTATGGTCCACAAAAATTATAAAAGATGAAAAGATGAATAAAATTATACTTGTGGATGAGAAAATAAAATAAATGGAATCCAAATTAGGAAAATTTTCTTATTTTTGGAGTACATAGAAAAAGGAGAGAAGGGGAAAGGGAGTAATTTCTTATCATGTTCAATGAAATAGAAAAAGTCGAAACTATACTTATATGGAATTTTCCTACTTATGTAGTTATATTCCGTGCAACGGGACAATTTAAATCTTCGTACTAGTTTAGGAGAAACAAGAATCTGTGTATACCCAAAATAGGTGAGCTCTAGTTGCCTTTAATTTACAGAGAAAAATGTTGGCGTAAGGATAAAGTTGGACATGATTTGTTAATTCTCGCATATAGTGTTTCTTATGTACATTTTTCTCCCGAGAAATCAGGTCTAATTAAACTAAACATAAATACACTAAATTCAAATCCAAATTCAACATGTAAACGTGACATTTTTCTTTTGAAAATGTATGAAAGTGGTTTTTGAGTTGAAAACTTGTCCAAGCGTACTCTAAAGTCGATTATCCTCTCACTCTTTGAATTTGCAAAAGGTTTTCAGAAAGCCAATTGAGTTACACCTATTACTCTATTAGGCGTTGTTACAATCGTGATTTAAATTCTAAAATTTAATGATTTTACAATTACACAAATAAATTGACTCGAATCTCATGCAATACATGGATCCATATAATTTAAAGTCGATCGTATAGCCGCATCTCTTAAAATCGCGACAATATCAAACAAAAATCATATACTCCGTGTAATTTATGAAATTTGTATTGAAATCATATAATACACGCACAATGGTGATTCGTTGTTATCGAAATATGGAGAAAAATCCATATTAACTATCGATTCTTGAGACAGGTAACTCTAGATGTGATAAATCAATGTAATATGATGAAAGTAAATATAAATTAAGTTTGGGAAATTTACTATACAAGAATAAAGGAAAAAGGGTCAAATAAGCCCTTCTACTATCCCCAATCCGTCACTTAAGCCCATGTACTAAACAAAATTAGTCCAATCCGTTACTTATTCATTCTAATATATATGAATTTTTGTAAGATTTATCAATATTCCTAATTTAATTTTAAAAAATAACCTAGGTCAAATGATTTGGTTGATTGTATTTTAAAAGTATGTGTACTTATATGATACTTTTTATAGTACAGGGGCTTAAGCGACGGATTGGAGATACTAAAATGGCTTATTTGAGCCTTTTCCCAAGAATAAATATGTTCTGGAATTTCTAAATAGGTCTCCTGTGTTTTTGGTTTTTTTCCGTAATATGAGTCGTTTCTGTCAAGATATATAGAAAAATATTGTCATTAATAGCAGTAAATAACGTCATGTTAATGTTTAGTTTTGTAATTATTTTGATAGTAATGACTTCACATGTTACTTCTACTTTGGAAATAAAAATATATCAGTTTTTCATTAACTTTCCCAAAGTTTCCATGTGTGGTATTTGTATTTGGAGCTGAGTATGCATGTGCAACTATTTTTTGTTGCGTGATCGCTATTATATTCAATAATTCACTACCCCCATTTCCATCCCTTCCATTTTTTGTCACATCCTTAAATTTCATTTTTGTAATTTATGTAACGAGATACGAGATACTTCTCAAACTTCATTTTTGGGCTTTGTTACAAGGTTGCTCATATCCATTCTTAATTTTACATTTTTACCGGTCAATTCAAAATCAAACTCAGAGCTTCAGTTTTTCAATATTTATGTTGAACCGCGTGTCTCAAATTTAATTGCATGGGTGAAGTAATGAGATAAAATTACTAGCTCCATGATACAATTAAAAATGTCTTGTGATATAATATGACTGTATGAATGCTTGGTAAAATATATTTATATTTCCTAACTTAATATAGCAAAAATTAAGATAATCATTATACAAGCAATAAGAGTTCCAATCCCAAAATCACCACCACAAATATTGAAGATATACGTACAAGACAGGTATCTACATTCAGCACAAAACTCTTCGATATATTCTTTGCTTCTATTAAATTCAGAAGCATGGATTCGGTATTCCTGCCTATCCAATTTAATTAGCTCTCCTTTTCATTTCCATCTCTATATAATTATCTTATAATTAATTCTATTCAAAAGAAAACTTGTGTCACTTTTTCTTCTATATTCAAAAATGGATTTCAAGTCATTCAATTTTACTTTTTTACAAATGTCCCCAGTGATTATTCTAAGAACATTCTAATGAAAATAGTCAAAGTTGTTGAAAAAATAGTTGATGGCTGAAAAAGGACTTCTAGCTTTTAAATGGAAAGAAAATTAAGAGACCATTTGGCACCACTGTTTTTCGGGTTATCAGGCTTATCAGCAAACTTTTTCACCAAACACGTAATTTTTACATTCGCGCGCTGAATTTTGTAATAAGCAGAAAAAGTAAGGTTTTAGTTACTTTTCTGGCTGTATTGGCTGAAGTTACTGTAGATGACCATTTTAGCTATTTTTACATATATTTTTTTCTTTATTTACTAATAAAATATATTTTAAAAATATTTTTTTCTTAAATCAGCAGAATCAGCTGATATAACCACTTCAGCCAGAACTTCATAAATTTTAGCAGAATCAGCCAAAACAGCCGATTTTTGTGCTACCAAACGGGCTCTAAATCACCAGATGCTTTGAGTCCCAATTTACTATTTTAACCCATCCAAATGCACTTTTGTATAAAAGGAGGCTTATTGTGATTTATGAAGTACAGGTAGAAAGCATGTTAAAGGTTTCAGTCTCAATGTTATTGTTCTTGTATTTTATTTGTTTTGCAATTCCTGAGTCAGTTAATGGATATGATGATCTTCAGTTCTACGAGATCAAGAGCGGAAATTTCTCCGTCAATGTGACAAACTTTGCTGCTAGTCTTGTCTCGGTTAAACTTCCAAATAAACATGGTATGTAATAATATATTTTACTCATACTACATATATCATAATGTGACACTCTTTGTCGCCTTGGTAGAAGGTTTTAAATCCCGAAAACTACAATTAGAGGCTATTATGTAAAAATGCATAAAACTTCAATCGTTAATAAATCCACACTAGTTCGGAAGGTTACAAGGACCGAAGGGCGGTCATCCTTTTTATCACTATTTGGAATTAATGATTCATATGTTATCCTCCATTGAATCAAATTGGAGGGCGTTTTTAAGTTTCCCCAGATTCTCTTAATTACAATCATCGCAATATTGGAAAAGTAATCAGCTTCTTCGTTGCCGATTTGGAGTCGATCAACAACGTTTCTGGTATTTAATTTTGTTCTTTGACTTCCAGGAATTTTGACAGATGTTATTCTCGGGTATGACACCGTTGATGAGTACAAGGTGCGTTACCGTTTGACTATTCTAAGTAATAAGTTAGTCTTTTTAATTATTTCATTTTTTATTTTGTAATTTTGTTTAGATATGATTCTACACTTTAACATACGAAGTATATGTATATGAGAAATGAAAACGAATCTAGACCGTTGAATTATATTATGTGGAATTGCATTGTGCATTGTGTGAAACTAAAATGGGTATTAGACGATATTGAAATTGGCTTGATATTTAACAATTTGATCAAGTTTGAGATTGGCTTGATTCTTCCATGTGTCAAACAACACTTGTTAAAGTAAAATTGAGAGAACGATAAATTGCAGAATAATGACAAAAACTTGGGAGCCGTGATTGGAAGGGTTGCCAACAGGATTCGTGATGCTCACTTCAGTTTAAATGGAACCCAATACAACCTTGATCGTAATAGCGGCAACAACTCCATTAACGGTATTCACTACTTAACTCAATCAATCAGATCGATCTCTCTCATTAGCTCACTCATGTAGTCAGGGTTGTATATTTGACTGATCCGTACAAATATATTTTCTTATTTTGTGTTTTAATTTACACGATTTTTTTGTCATAATAATTTAAATAAAATTGAAATTTGGTTGGTCGGGGCCACAATGATAGATTCTATATACGGAGTAAGGATGTTTTCTTTTGGACTGTTTTCAGTCCTAGACCAGAACAGATCAGACCGGACCAGACCAGACTTAAATAGACCAGACCAGACTAGACCAGACTTAAACAGACCAGACCAGACCAGACCAGACTTGGATAGTTATAAAATACACACCAGACGTTTACCAGACAAGTTCAGACCAGACCAGACTTAAACAGACCAGATCAGACCAGATCAGACCAGACCAGACTAGCAAATTTCAGTCCAAAAGAAAAAATCCTAATTAAAATAGTGAGCAATGTAACCTTAGCTTATAGCTCTACTACTATTCAGGTCCGTCAACATTTGGTTGTATAAAAAAACACTAATAACACGTGATACACCAAGTTTTGTGATAAGAGATTATATTTTTGATTTTTTCAAATACATATAGCCATGTGGGCTAAGTTACACAAATAAAATATAGAGGCGTGTACACACATACAAATGATGTGTACCCAAGAAATTTTCTAACTACAAATTACATACTCCTATGTAGGGGGCAGCAAGGGATTTAGTAGAGTTGCTTGGGAGCTGGCGAAGCACAAGCCGGACAGTAAAACCCCATACATTACCTTCACGCTCTATAGCCCTGATGGCGATCAAGGTGACTCATACGTAGTATTTTTTTTTATTAAGGAAATAAATTGACTTTACTGTAGAAAACACTGTTTAGACACTGTTTGGACACTGCTTGGCACTATTTGGCACTGTTTGGATGTAAATTTCTTTGCCAAATAAGGAAATAAGGGAAGTGTGACTTTGTTTTTGAAACATCCCAAAAAGGAAAGTGTGAGTTTCTTTTAGAAACGGAGGGAGTATATGCTACGTACGTATATCCTTAGCCATTAATTAGGTCAAGTAAAAAATAATTAAATGGAATTGTCCCAACTAAGAGTAAAAGCAATGTGGAATTCCATAATCACAACATATTATTCTTATTTTCTAAATAAGAATAATCACGGTTGTGGTTGAAAAACAATGTCAACTGTGGCAATGTACTTGTAATATCTGGCCTTGCCTAATCCGAAGTGATCATCCGGGATACTCCGAGAATTTTTGGGTGATGAACTTCCTTAAAAGGATGTGCAATTTGTTCGTATGAGTAGTATTTAGCATCTCTTTGAAATCTTTCTAAATATTCCTCAAAGCGTCAAATTATGACAGTAAAATTCTAGGATCAGAGTAAGTACTTTCAATTTTGAGGAAAAATAGAGTACTTGCATTTTAAAAATTTACATTGTTTTCAGAGGTTTTTAAAAAAATATTGCTGAAATAAAAACTATGAGTATAGTAGTAAGTGTCGTGACTGATGAAGTATAAAACTACACGAAAGCTAGTTACTATGAATGAACTTACTAAATTGAAGAGGTCACAATTTTTTTATGAACATTTATTTAAGTACTCCCTCCATCCTGCTAACATTGTCTTTCATCTTTTTTTTTTATTCGTCCCACTAAGATTGTCTTATGTAAGGTTCCAAATCATTCTTTATTAATTATTACTATCAATTCAATATCAACCACATAAATTCTTTTATTACTAACTGTGTCACACTCACGTTTTAATCGTAGTGTGTCGGGGCCAGGGTAGTAATAGATTCTATGGTACCCAAAAGGTACCGTACCGTACCTTTGTCCACATGGACCAATCAGAATGTTGCAGTTGAATTATTTAAGTCTAAATTAAAATTGATATACCTATGTGGACCAATCAAGTGAATGGTAGGTACGGTATCCCATTTTTTAAATGGGTACCCGAGTTCTCACCAATAAATATACATACTACGGGTATGTAACTTTTTTATGTTTTTGCTCCTATGACGAGAACCTTCCCAAAAATAACTGGTGAGTTGATCTTTTTCTCCTTGCTAACATCCTAAAGTGAAATGCATGCATGTAGGTTATCCTGGGGATGTTACAGCAAATGTTACCTATACCATAAATGAGAATTACACGTTAAGTATAGACATGAAGGCAATCACTGCGAACAAACCAACTCCAATTAGCATGGCTACACACGCATACTGGAACCTTGGAGGCCAAAACAGTGGCAATATTTTTTCTGAAAAGCTTCAGCTGTTTGCCTCCAATATCGCCGCCATGGACAATGATCTTTTGACAACCGGTAATATTACATCAATCCTCAAAACAACCTACGATTTCCTTGAACCCAGTCCTATAGGAATAAGAATCAATCAACTTCCGAAGCCAGTAAATTCTAAGAAGCAGAAAGGTTTTGATACTTACTATGTATTGGATGCCTACAACGACCTTGAGAAAGATAGGATGAACAAAGTGGCTGTTTTGTGCGAAGAAAAGTCTGGGATAAGGATGGATCTCAGCTCCAATGCGCCAGGACTTCAGCTTTATACAGCCAACAACTTGAAGAACTTGACAGGAAAAGGTGGAGTGGAGTATAAGCCCTATGCTGGAGTGTGCTTGGAGACCCAGAGCTTCCCTGATGCTGTGAATCATCAGAACTTCCCTTCCTCTATTATCACAAAGGAAACACCCTATTCTCAGACAATATCTCTTTCTTTCTCTACCAACTTGCAGTGCTAGTATGGCAGGAAATTAAAGAAATGATGATATACATTCTCCAACATGTTTGCTGTGATAAAGTTGTAATCTTACCTTACAGTTGACTTTTGAAGATATGTACTCTATATTATTGTTACGTCATTACGTTTTGTTTTCAAATACTTCGTATGTGATACTTCGTTGTTACAATTATTAGTTATTAATTATTTTCATTACTATTAGTAGAATCTTGGTGGAGATACAATTTAGAAGCAAAAAGTAATCAATCGGATTTGCACTTTTTATTGGATTTGCACTTTTTCCTGAGATATAATATGTGCTGCTAATTTACATCATTTGATCCTTGTTAAAAAATATTTGAGGATTTCCTATATGTCTAACTAGGGGAAGCCTTTACTAAGTACATACTGTATTTTATTCTCTAGTGCATTTAGGTTTATGTCATGTTCTTCTTCCTCCTTTTTCTTTGGGTGGCTAATGTGAAGCTAATGTTGTAAAGGTTAAAACTTGACACCAATGGAGAAAGTAGCAGTAGTTTTTTCTCGTAGGAGAATTTGTTATCCATTTCCAGAACTCACTTGTGTGCAGCCCCCATTAAAGAATATTTTCCCTCCAACATGGTACATATGTAAACTAGCTTACTTTAGGAGCTCATTTTTTGAATGGTCAAGGAATTTGCTACATATCAGATAGCTTTTAAATGTATCAGATAGCTTTTAAATGTATAAGTAGTTCATGGACTTTGATATTCCTGGTAATATGGTTGAACTTGAAGGAAAACAAAATATGTACTTGATGTTATGAAGAAGATATAGAGAGAAGAATGCCCTGAGCAAATGAAATAAGACCGAGAATGTAACATTTCTAAAGAAGCAGCCTAATATCATATAGTCTTATACAGATATAGTCACACATAAGAGCTGAAGTTTCAGAATAGAAAAAAAGAATTACCCTTGAAGAACACAACAGCCCCATTAAGATTTATCAGAAAAATCTAAATAATCAACAATTCGAAATAATAAATTAAAAAACATTACAATTACAACCAACTTATTGAAAATAATCAATCCAATCCAAATAAATAATATAATTCTAAAAAATTGACACAATTCCGAGAATAATGATTAAGAGTAAAATATCTTTCATCGAAATAAAAATATACTTCAATGACTAATGTAAGACTTTCTTATTAAAAGATCTACTTTAATATCAGCTTGCTTGTTGACCACCATATAGCTCCCATATATGATTGATGAGATCATTTTTCAAGTCTCTGTGAACTCTCTTGTCTTGAACTTGTTTCATTCTTTCAATCATTGTAGAGACAATAAAATTATAATCACTCTTTATTTCCACATTTTCAACCCTTTCATCTCCAAGAGACTGCCAATTTTCAGGATTCATTCCTTGGCTACATTCACTCTCAATGATCATATTATGCAAGATGATACAAGTTTTCATTATCTTCTCCAAGTCTTTTTCCTTCCACATACGTGCGGGACCTTTAACAATATGTCATCTACTTTGCAATACTCCAAAAGCACGCTCCACATCCTTCCTTATAGATTATTGGCGCTGAGAAAATATTTTCTCTTTTTGAGAAGATGGCTACCAGATAGACTGCACTAACGTAGCATATTGTGGATAAATTCCATCAGTCATATTATACCCCATATCATAATGATGACCTTGCACTACATAGTTACATGGTGGTGTAACACCATTTATAATATCATCAAATAGTGGAGATCTGCCTAATACGGTTATGTCATTATTAGTACCAGACATACCAAAGAATGCATACCAAATCCACAACTTCCTTGAAGCTACAATCTCTAATATGAGAGTTGGGACTCGCTTAAAACCAATTGTATGTGTACCATGCCAAGCGGTTGTACAATTCTTCCAATGCCAATGCATACAATCAAGACTCCCTAACATACCAGGAAAACCTCTTTCTTCTGCTTCTTGAAGAAGGACTGAAATATCTTTTTTGTTTGGCTTTCTCAAATACTCCTGTTCAAAAACACTTATCACGACATCACAGAAATGCTTAAGGCTTTGAATTGCAGTGCTCTCCCCAATTTGAACATATTCATCCAAAAGATTAGCTGCACAACCATAAGCAAGCATCCACACTGCAAGATCATTTTTTTCAACTGCTACCAAAATGTGAGTAAATAGTTCCACATCCATTCAGAATCTTCTGCGAAAATGATCTGCTGTATACATTGATTGATCACCATTAAAATAATCTTTAATAATCAGCTCATGACGTTCATTTCTATCGTGATGAATATAATGCCTGCTACTTGTTGTACCTCCATTAGCATACTGCTTGCCTCTTAACATTGTTGAAACTATTATAGAAGCATGAGTGGTAGTGAAATAAATCAAATCACGAGTAATTTTTAAACTTCTGTCATCTTCTTTTGATGGTTCATCAAATAATTTTTTCGTCAATGAGCCGAGAACGCACACCGTCAGATGATGAGCTATCACTATCAACTTCCGACTCTGAAGAAGACATTATTATATCATATCACCTGTAATTTATAAGAAAAGTATAATGTTGAGTATAATTCCATAATATTTTATTATAAATGGTGCTTGAAATTAATAATATTTTAATCTCCTAAGAACTATACTATTGTTTTTACAAGAATCACATAAACATGCTTATGACTTTGTATATAAAGATAATCAATATAAATCATTTACACCCACTAACTGTCTAAGTATACACCAAGAACTAGTTTCACTTTTGAACTCTCCACAATATTGTCACTTCTCCACTTCAATCCTTAATAATGGGAAAACTTAAAATTTTAACCTATTAACTATTTATATAAGAGAAAGCATAACCTAAGAGCACAAGTTAACTACTTCACAAAGTGTCAAAGTGAAATTAGTACCCCTAAACTATAATCTGACTTTTAAAGAAACACTACCATCGGTCCATCACAAGCTCTGCAAAGCAAAAAAGACTGTTTTTTACTAAATCGGCAAGGGCAAACTTGAATCTTTTCAAACAAAACTGTTTTCTTTTCTACACACCTTAAAATTTATGAGGTGCGAAGCTATATGAAGCATAAAATTAGAAAACAATTCACTTATCCTCACATTACACACGTTGAGAAACTAGGAAAAGGTCTAGAAAAATATAAAACAATACTAGAGAGGAGGAAAATCATAACCTGGATGGCAACTTTATGCAGGGAGTACTAACCGGGAATTGGCTTTTCGCGCCCGTTTGCTCTGTCGGATCAACCCCTCTTCATGGTGCTCATCAAATGGCTTTTAATTGACGTACAAATTGTCCCAATGTACTATAGGTCTCTCGTTCTCATTCTTCTAGACATTTTCACCAAATGTTTTTTACTCTATATGATATGGAATTGAACTCAAGAATTTAATTCCTTGTAATCAATGGAGTTGTACGCGTATGGCTGTACATATTGGCATTAACATAGTTGTAATACAGTTAACATTTTACAGTAGTGCAAAATTTTACAGTTAACATTTTACAGTAGTGCAGAATTTTACGATAACACAAATCAAACAAGTCAAATCAAATTACATACTATGTATAAAACAATGATTAATATGAAATCGTAGAGAATATACGTAATTGCGTATGTAGTAATTCACTATATCATATCATGACACTTTGGGTTAAAATGTTCACGAAAAATCACACCGCGCGTTTTTCTTAAATCAATTGATAGATAATTCTAGAAGTCAAAAAGGCAATGTCTTTAATGAAATGTGATGATGAATTGAATTTCTAAATGTACATTTTGTATGACACTTTTGGTTAAAATATTCCCTCTTTGTCAAAAAGGCAATATCTTTAATGATATGTACATTTTCAAATGGATTGATAGATAATTCTAGAAGTAAAAAAGGCAATATCTTTAATGAAATGTGAAGATGAATTGAATTTCTAAGAGCATCTCCAATACTACAATGTGCACGATGTACATGTGACATTAGAGAGATAGACATAAAAGATTAATTTTATGACATTTCTCTATCCTTCTTTCCACGGTCTTATGTGTTTTTGGTAAGTTTTTGCCTGCAATGTCAACTACAATGTCTACATCTAGACATTGTGTTTCACATTGTGAAGAAAAACTTACCAAAATGATGTAAGATCCTTCAAATAAGGAGAGAAATATTCTACTTATTGATATTATTGTTTTTTTATTGGTTATTTCTCATGCCACATATGCACCGTTAACGCTTTAACATTGGAGATGCTCTAAGTGTACATTTTGTATGACACTTTTGGTTAAAATATTTCCTCTTTGTCCAAATTTGCTTTTTTCCCCATATCCACAAATAAATAATTAATCCAATACTATTTTTCATATATAAGGATTTTTTTGATGTTATTTTTTGTCTTTGTAAATTAATTTCAAACATCATACAACTTCTTCTTTTTTATAAACGTGGCAGAATAAAGAAGATTCTCAAAATCACTAATTTTTAAATCAGAAAACGTTCCTCACTGTCAACCATTTTAACCCAAAGACATGCATTTTGTATAAAAGGAGACTTATTATCATATGTGTTTTGTGAATCGCTCAAATTAAAGATTATGTCAAAGATTTCAGTCTCAATACTGTTATTGTGTTTCATTTGCTCTGTAGTTTCTGGGTCAGTGATCACCCATGGAGATGATCATATTCAATTCTATGAGATCAAAAGTGGAAATTTCTCCATCAAATTAACAAACTTTGGTGCAAGTATCGCCTCAGTTAAACTTCCTAATAAATATGGTATGTAATATATTGTATTATATTATATATTAATTAAATCAATCGTCTTCTTCGTAGTCATCAATTAAGAATCGATCAACAACGATTGTTCTTATATATTTTCTCCTTAATATAATGTTGACTTCCAGGAATTTTAACCGATGTTGTTCTCGGGTACCGCTGCGGAGTACAAGGTATGTTACAGTTTTTATGTTAAAACTTTTTTTTGTTTCTTTATCCATTCTGTTAAGACTTAAGATATCATCATAGCTATGTGTGCGCGCGCATGTATAGCTGATTATATAGCTGATTATATTTTTCATAAATAAGATCTTATCCACAATTTTAAGCACAAGTATCAAGCTTATTTATTTTT